AGCCCAGCCCCAGGCCCTCTCCTGGGGGCGTCTGCAGGAGAGTCGGAGCTCCCCAGCGCTGCTCCCACAGTGATGGGCCAGGCGGGAACTACTCCTCACATCCTCCCTGGGAAGTCCCATCCCCAGGGTTAGGCAGGTGGTACAGGAGGAGCCTGAGCTGGAGGTGCCGGGTGGACCCAAAGCAGCCCTTCTCCGATGCGGTGCATGAGAGGACATCAAAGTGGCCATCTTTCTCCAGTCAGGGCTTAAACCCAAAAGCCATTGTCACCTCCATTGGAGCTGATGCACCCCACAAGAACAGGGATAGGGCTGAGGTACCATCAGTGGGGAGGGGGACTCAGGGGGACCCACCCTTGAGCACCCATTTTCTCCTAGTGCCATTTCCTAGGCCTCCCTTTCCCTGCCCTCTCGTCCTGGCCAGGCTATCCCCAGCCTGTTGCAGCACTTCATGCTCAAGACTTTATTTCATCTTTCCTCCCTCCCACACGTCCCCAGCCCCCAGCTCAGGACCTCTGGGCCCCTCCCCTACACGTTCGCATGGGTCCCATTGGTGCGGAGCCACCGCTGTGACTGCTGGGCCGGGTTGAAGGTGGGACCCCATAGGTTCTTGCTCCTCCCGCAGTCACTGGCTGCTTCAGCCTCGCTGCATGCACCATGCAGCTCATTCACCTCCTCCTCTTCCTCTTTCTCCTCCTCCTCCCTGGAATGTGGGCAGACCCAGAGGGTAAGTGGGAGCCCTGGCTCACCCTAACCGCTCTCACCTCCCCGTCAGAGGACCCCACAGGTTCCTCAGGGAAGGCATGGCCAGGCCACTGCGCCCTGCATGGGGGGGATGATCGCCAGCGTCAAAGGGCCACCCCTCACACGCAGCACCCAAAGGTGCCCTGTCCCTGCCAGCTCTCTCTGTTCCTGCCTCCAGCTTGGGGCTTCATGCCCCACCAGCTCCAGCACAGGGTCTTGGGCCTAAGCAGAAGTGAGGCCAGGGGTCCCCAACCAGGCCTGGGGTGTTGGGGTTCCCCCAAAGGTGCCTTCCTCCTGCAGGGAGCCCGTGGGCACCAGAGGGGTCTCAGCCCCATGTTGTGCTGTGGGCCCCTTCCAGCAGCCCCTTGTTCGTTGAGGGGCTGCACCTGCGAGAGGGTGTTTTAGGCGCTGCTGTCCCACAGAACGTTTCACCACAACCCCATGAGACCTCATGTTTCCGGTGTGAGCAGCAACAGACATAGGAATGTGGGATTGATCTCTGGGCTGGGCTACTCTCCTGCCCCTGTCAGGGTTTGGTCTCCTTGAGCTTCCAATGCCCAGGAGCCCTAAAACCTGGACAAAATACCTTTTTCCGTCCTCCGTCCTCCACATTCTCTGCACCATCTGCAGGTCTCTGGCAGATACAGGTCCTGGCATGGGTGCTTCTTCTGGGAGAGGCATTGCCCCAAACGAGCACCGAGATGCCCCCATTATCTGCCCTGCACAGCCAGGCAGCAGGCGCTGGGCAGGAGGGAGGTGGGGAGGGGACAAGGTGCCTGAAATCCTGTATGGGAGAGAAACGCTTCATTGAAAATAAAAGAGAAGGAAAAAGAGCAGCAGAGGTAGAGGAAGTTCAGACAGGAAAGCAACCCTGAGCAGGCTGAAGAGCACAGAATCATAGATTCATAGAAGTTTGGATTGGAAGGGACCTTTACAGGCCCTCTAGTCCAACCCTCCTGCAGTGAGCAGGGACATCTTCAACTAGATCAGGTTGTTCAGAGCCCCATCCAGCCTGACCTGGGATGTTTCCAGGGATGGGCCATCTCCCACCTCTCTGGGCAACCTGTGCTTCACCACCCTCATTGTCAAAAATTTCTTCCTTTATCTAGTTTTCCAGGGGGAACAGTTCCCCCACTCATTTCCTCTTTCCTGCAGCCTTTCCCATCCCCATTCTCTTTCCTAGCAGAGCCACAGGTTTTCCAGCTACTCCAGACCAGCCTCTTCACCAACATCAGCTCTGCTGAGGTGTCTGGGGTGGCTCTCCTGGGGGACGTGCCCATATTTGCACTGGATCCTGCCAAATGGAGCATCCGTTTCCACTGGCCCTGGGCTCGCCAGGCCACAGCCGAGGGAGACGCAGAGAAGATCATGTCCCACTCCAAGCTCTTTCTGCGCAATATGGTCCGATATGTGCATGAAACAGCCCAGCAGGCGCAACTGGACTGTGAGTATGGGGACGACCCCAGGCAGAGCCACAGCCCTTTTCCTCATTTCTGGCTGTGCCCTCCTCCCCACCAGGGTGGCATCTGTGAGGTCTCACAGGGTGCAACAGCTCCTGAAAGGGGGGGAAATGCTGCGGCTGCTGGGGCACATGGCTAGCAGGGGCGACAAGGCCAGCACTCCAAAAACACCCCTGAGGGCTCCTGCCATCTGGCACGGGGGAAACTCTCTGCACACCAGGGAGCTACCACCAAATTTACCAGGGCTACAGGACCTGCACAGCACAGATCAGGGAAAGAAAAAGTTGGGGGCAAATATTTTGGGGAACAACATTCTGTTTGAGCAACCACCCAGCAATAACTAGCCTCATATCCACTCCGGCCTTCCAAGGGGACTGAAAGCTTGCAGGGTGTCCCAGGGCTTCCTGAAGCATGGCCACATGCCCTGCCGCCCCTTGCGCCATGCTGCCCATCTCCCCCCTGCACGTGCCTCCAGCCACATCCTGCCTCATGCCACCTGTGTCCCACACACTCATGGGACCTCTCCACTGCCTCTGCCCTTAGCAGACCCATTGGTGATCCAGATCCGTGCAGGCTGTGTGCTGCACTCCAACAGGACAAGCTGGGGCTTCATGGATGTTGGGGTGGGTGGCAGAGACCTCATAACTTTTGAGGTGGAGAGGCAGCACTGGGAACCCCTGCAGCCATCCCTGCTAGCAGATCTGGTCAGCAAGTCTCTTACCAGCAAGAAGGCCGTGACAGGGGTCCTGGAGCACATCTTGTCCATCTCCTGCCAGAGCCACATCCTCACCCTGTGCAAGTATGGGAAGGCCGATCTGGAGAGACAAGGTGAGACCACCCTCACCCTGGCACGGCCACCCCAAAGTCCCCCACACACATTGGGACCAAGTCATGTCCAACTGGGGCTCCTCACACCCCTTGGCTTTCACCCCCCAGAGCTACCCGTGGCCACGGTCTTTGCCCGCACACCCAGCCCAGCCCAGATCCTGCTGGTTTGCCATGTCACTGGCTTCTACCCACGGCCCATCAGCGTGGCCTGGCTGCGGGATGGCCAGGAGGTGCCACCAGGCCCGGCGCTCAACACCAGCACCATCCTGCCCAACGCCGACCTCACCTACCAGCTCCGCAGCGTGCTGGCCGTGGCCCCCGGTGATGGGCACAGCTATGCCTGCCGCGTGCACCACCGCAGCCTGGGCACCCGCAGCCTCCTCATCCCATGGGGTAGGTGCCACCCATGGGGATGGGGCACAGGATGTAAGTAGCAGCCATGGCCCTGCAAGGGGCAGCTCCTGCCTGGTCCTGCCACACTCACATTGCTGCCCTCTTTTCTCCCTGTCCCAGAAAACCGCAGCACAGCTCCAGCTGTCGCCATCGCCATCTCAGTGGTGCTCCTTGTGGCCACAGCCTCTGCTGGGGGCGTTTGGTGGTGGAAGCACAGGTGAGGTCTCCCTCTCTCTGTCTGCTCTCGGGTTTATGGGCAGATGGGTTGGGCCAGGGGTTGCAGCAGCAGCAGCTCTGCAGGGATGAACTCCCCAGCCCTGAGCATGGCTCACAGTGGTCCCCCTTGCAGGAAAGGTGGCAAGGCCACATGGGAGACCCCAGAGTTCATCATTTGAGGCCTGGCTGCTTGCCCAGCACTGAGCTCCCTTGCCACCAGCTCTGCCTGCTTATCTCATGTCCCATCCCTGACCCATCAGCAACAACAGGGGTTTGTGCTGGAAAATCACCGCATTAAACAGCTACAAACTTCCCCAGCTGCATGTGGCTCCTGTGGCTCTTGCCCTCCTTCCCCCTCACAAGATTCCCCCAGGAAACCCCCCAGCGTGCTGCAGAAACCCCACATTGTGTCCAGGAAGACTCTTCCTTTTCCTGGATACTGGCCGATCTCCCCTGGCATGTCACAAGAAGCAATTCCACTACCAACCTCTCCCACATCTCGACATCTCCATGGCCAGTGTCTGTCCCTGGCAGAAGGACAGTGAACCTGACCATACCGGTGTGGGGCTGCTGAGTGGGATGGGGGATGGAGCAAGCTGCAAACCAGGGAGAGATGGAGGGATTTGAGCTGTTTCGCTGGGGAGAGAAGGGGAATGGAGGACCCAAGTGACATCTCCAATCCCCTGACGGGGGGAGGTGTTTCAAGCAAGGTGCAAAGCTGCTCCTGCTTCAGTGCTCATCTCACCCTCTGTCTGGGATGATTTTGGGTTGGGATTGAAACAAGGAACTAAAACAATTACAAGGTTTTAGCATGTGTCACTAATCAACTCTAAGTTTTGCAAATTCCTTAATATATGGAAGGTTACCGATTACATGATTAGTTTGACTTTAGTACAGAATTCTTTAGCCTAATAACTGTGTGATTATGTTTAACGGCCTACTCTCATAGTCCTTAGGCTGTATTTCCTCAATGTTAACATTGTTACTATGTGTAGATGGTTAATCACGACTAAAGCAGGCCTCATGAAAAGTAAAACGAAGAGTTAAGAGCAAGGACTGAGAGATTAAAGAGAACAGAGAAGATATCTTAACCTTGAGCATAGAGACAGACTGGCAGGAGTGCTCTAACAAGGATGATAAGAAGGAACCGCTTGGCTGGACAACAGAAGAGGCAAACATCCAAGGAGAAGAAACTATCCTCAAGAGACCCGTGACCATAAAAGGGAAAAAGGAGTAGGGGATTAACTCCCCAAATGACCACCGATGACCACCTGAGACCCCCGCGCACGCGTAGTGTAGTTTTGCAATGCCAGCATTATGTAAATGTAATAGATAAGCCAGGAGGCGGTGATTTCTTGGAAGATGTGTCAATATTCATGTCTTTAAAGTATATAAAGGATGAACTTTTGTTTCAGTGCACGCATGTTAGGAGGAGATAGCCCCCATGCGTCCAGCGCTGTAATAAACATACCTGCTTATAACTCTTTTGAGTTGTGAAGTTTGTTTCCGCACGTCAGGATGTCCTCCACTCCTGAATCCTGCCCCCACACCTGATTCCTTCCCCTGCAAAAGTTGGAGGGATGGGGGACAGTCATCCTCCCAATACGCCTAACAGCCATGAAAAAGCCATTCACAGACTCTGGGGGACTATGTTTTTTGAGCTACATGCTCCCAAGAAAAGTGGTGTGGTGGGTTGACCTTGGCTAGGCACCAGATGCCCACCAAGCTGCTCTATCGCTCCCCCTTCTCAACTGGACAAGGGGGAGAAAATACGACAGAAGGTTTGTGGGTCAAGATACAGCCAGGGAGATCACTCAGCAGTACTGTTACAGGCAAAACAGAGTCAGCTTGGTGAAATTAGTTTAATTTATTGCCAGTCAAAATCAGAGTAGAATAATGAGAAATAAGAACAAATCTAAAATGACCTTCCTCCCACCCCTCCCTTCTTCCCAGGCTCAACTTCATTTTTGACTTCTCTACCTTCTCCTCCCAAGTGGCAAGGTGGGATGGGGAATGGGGATTGCCATCAGTTTATTATGCATTGTCTCTGTCACTCCTCCTTTACTCACCCTGCTCCAGCCTGGGGTCCCACCCATTGGAGACAGTCCG